TGTAGTGTCTTGTCAAGGTCGTCCCATTCTTAATGACAATGGCAGGAGGAAAATAATCTCAATAATGGCGATTATAGTATAATGGTAATGATGACAAAGAGTAACAGTAGTGTGTATTATATTGAGATAAATAATGATAAAAGTAATAATATGAAAAATAATAAGTGATGATAGAATGAAGACTATTATTATCATTATTATTTTTATAAGTAGTTGTATTTGTATTATTGTAAATAGTAGTAGAGCAATAAGAATAATGACAATAACAATAATGATTATAGTAATAATAATTATAATGATATCAAAAGTAGTAGTAGTAGTAGTGTTAGTGTTACGGTGATAATAATGGAAATTATAGTAATAATAATAATAATAATAATAATAGTAATAATGATAATAATAATAATAATGATAATAATAATAATAATGATAATAATAATAATAATGATAATGATAATAATAATACGAAAATCATAAGCATACACCGTCATTTATAGAGTAATCAAAAGACAGAAACATTAAGACGAAATAAGAAATAAAGACAGAGAGAGAGAGCGAAAGAGAGAGAGAAAAAAATATATATATAATTCACGATAACACAAAGAAAACGGAAGATAACTATCACCTTGTCAGAACATCGAGAACATGACACGGGTTTAGGGCGTAGCTTCCTCGACCTCCTGTTTGTTAGTTCAGGGTCGTGTACCTGATTTTCCGTTCAATAATTAGCGAAAGATTGCGTTCGGTTTGTTGTAAGATTTTTTTTTTCTTTTTTTTTTTGATTTATGGGGGGAAGGTGGGGGGGGGAGGTTCGAGAGAGATGGGGGCTAGAGGGGGGCGGGGGAAGGGAGAGCAAGGAAGAAGGGGAAATGATACAGTGAGATAGAGGGGGATGAAGGAGAAAGGAAGAAGGGGAAAAAGAGAGAGAAGCTGACCGAAGAAAAGAGAGAGAGGGGAATGGAAATGAGAGAAAGGAAGAAGGGAATAGAGAGAGAGAGAAACAGACCGAAGAAAAAAGAGAGAAACAGACCACAGGAAAAAAGAGAGAGAGAGAAAGAGAGAGAAAGAGAG